ATTCTGTCACGTACGGATCTCTTGGCTTACGTGTACCTAGCTTAGGACCTTTGCCTGTTGCTAGTGTCGGTACTTGTGCTTTTAGTGTAGGTGCTTGTGTAGTCACTAGCCCAGCCGTGACGACTGCTGTTGCGTCGCTCTCCTTCACGCTGGACTCCGGCGCGTCTCAGTGTTTCTTCCGCGACCACACCACTGTCACACCTCTTTCGGCTCCAGTCCCAGTTGCCCTGGCTGATCCTACTTCAGGACCAGCAGTTGCTCGTAGCTCGACCACCCTCCCGTGCCCGGCTGTCCCCTCTGGTTTCCTCACTGGTCTCTACATCCCCTCGTTCTCTCGGAACTTGGTGGGTGTTGGATACCTTCAGGACCGGGGGATCACAGTCACTTTTCCTGCGCACGGGAGGACTGCGATCTGTACGGACTCTTCCACCGGGGCAGTTCTTGCCACGTTCACCAGAGAGCCCCACTCAGGTCTCTTCGTCCTGCACACTCCGCCCCCGCAGGTAGCTGCGTCTGGTCAGGTTGCTTCGTCCCCCCCGGTAGCAGAGTCCGGTCAGGTGGCTGTGTCCAGTCCGGTCGCTGTGTCCAGTCCAGTCGCTGCGTCTTGCTCCTGTCGCTCTCTCGCCCACCGCACCGTCCTGTGGCACCACCGTCTTGGCCACCCGTCGATCCCTCGCCTTCGTGGCATGCTCAGTCAGGGACTAGTCACAGGTCTCCCACGCACCTTCCCGTCGCTCCCTCCCTCGCTTGCCCCTCCTTGCTCTCCGTGCGTCGCCGGTCGCTTACGTGCCACTCCCCACTCCTCCTCCCTTCGTCCGGCCACCGCTCCCTTCGAGACTCTCCACTTGGACGTCTGGGGCCCTGCCCCGACGCAGGGGTCTGGGAGGGAGCGCTACTTTCTAGTGGTCGTCGACGACTTCTCCAGGTACACCACAGTGTTTCCTCTTGCGAAGAAGTCCGAGGTGACTGCTACGCTGATCAGGTGGCTTCTAGCCACTGAGGGCACTCGTGGTCGTCGAGTCAGTTGTCTTCACTCCGACCGTGGGGGCGAGTTTCGCTCCGGCATTCTCGGCGGATTCTGCGGCGAACAGGGCATCACCCAGTCCTGGACGCTGCCAGAGTCCCCACAGCAGAATGGGGTTGCTGAGCGCCGCATAGGCTTGGTCATGGACATCGCCCACACGTCCATGATTCATGCCCGTGCGCCCCATTTTCTGTGGCCTCACGCGGTTCGCTACGCCGCACACCAGCTGAACCTCCAGCCGCGTGTCTCGCGGCCCGAGGCTTCACCGACCAGTCTCTGGACTGGATCCCCTGGTGTTGGGTCGGCCTTTCGAGTCTGGGGCTGCCTTGCACTTGTTCGCGACACCTCCGCGGACAAGCTCTCGGCACGCGCCGTCCCCTGTGTCTTCCTTGGTTTCCCAGTGGACTCTGCTGACTGGTCCTTTTACCACCCTCCCCTCCACCAGTTCCTAGATTCCCGTGACGTCCGGTTTGACGAGTCCGTGTCCTACTACACCCGGTACCCCTGTCGAGGTCTCCCGGTACCCCCTCCCCCTCTCTTCCTCGCACCCTCTCCTCCTCCTGCTCCCGCTCCTCCGGTACCCCCGCCCCCCCCTGGTCCTGCCCCGTCTGGTGTGTCCCACGCTACCCCTCTCCCCTCGGTCGTGCGTCAGGTAGCGTCTCCCTCCCCGCAGTCCTCCTCACAGTCCCCTCAGCAGCCTTCGGCACTTCCGCGACAGGTTACTGTGGACTCGGTTGGTGTTGGAGCTGGAGGTGCAGCCGCTGGCGGTGCTCGGTCGCGGGGTACTGGAGCTGGAGGTGCTGGCGCAGGTGACGCTAGCTCTGGGGGTGCTGGAGCTGGAGGTGCTGGCGCAGGTGGCGCTAGCTCTGGGGGTGCTGGAGCTGGAGGTGCCGGCACTGGAGGTGCTGGTTCTGGGGGTGCTGGAGCTGGGGGTGCTGGCACTAGCGGTGCTAGTTCTGGGGGTGCTGGAGTTGGAGGTCCTAGCACTGGCGGTACTGGTTCTGGGGGTGCTGAGTCTGAGGAGACTGACGCTGGAGACCCTGGTTCTGCGGAGTCCACCCCGCCCCCCCACCGCCACGACACGCGTCTCCAGGCTGCCCGTCGGCGTGAGCGTGAGGAGCAGGAGCGGTTGGAGAGGGAGCGGCAGGAGCTGCGGGTGCTGGACCTTCTGGAGCAGCAGCGGCAGCAGCAGCAGCAGCAACAGCAGCAGCAGCAGCAGCAGCAGCAGCAGCAGCCGCAGCCGCAGCCGCAGCCGCAGCAGCAGCAGCAGCCGCAGCCGCAGCCGCAGCGGCCGCAGCCGCCACCGCAGCTTCCTCTAGAGCGGCGGTTGTTCCCACCTGTGAGTGGCTTGCGGGCCCTTGGCCTTTCCTCCTCTCCTCCTGTCCGCTCCCAGTCTCCTCCTGTGTTTGTTCCTCCGTTGCCTCCTCCTGACGACCGTCCGGCGGTCTGGTCTTCTCCTCCTCCTCAGTCTCCTCCTCCCTCTGTCCGTCGCGACTTGATCACTCGTTGTCCTCCGCGTGCTCGTCACTCGTCCCCTGTTACTGACCTCCACACTGCCCTCCTTTGTTCGTCTCGTCGTCGTTCTCCTTCTCCTGTGTCCGTTCTCCCGTCTCCTCCTCCGTCCTCTCTACCTGCCCTCCCCACTCCTATCTCTGACTACTACCGCGCTGTTCGTCCTGTTGCCGCACGTGTCCTCACCACTCTTGTCACCGACCCTCGTTTCCCTCCGTCGTCTGTCTCGGCTCTCACTGCCGCTGTCGCTGAGTTTGCTGCCGCCAGCTGCCTTGACTACGCCACCCGTGTGGTGCCAGCTCCTCCCTACCATCCTCTGTCCGTCGGGGGTGGGTTTGCCCTTGGCTGTGACGTCCTAGAGGACAGAGAGTCTGAGCTGGAGTACTGGGCAGCCGCTTCTCCCTCTGTGTGTGCCATGCTGCTCTCCCCTGAGGGAGACCCCGACGCCCTTGACATACCGACTCCTCGCACTTACCGCGAGGCAGTGTCAGGGGCGTGGGCCTCTCAGTGGAAAGCGGCTATGGACTCAGAGTTGGCGTCTTGGAGATCCACAGGCACCTACGTCGACGCAGTTCCCCCTCCCAGGGCGAACGTAGTCGATGGCATGTGGCTCTTCAAGGTGAAGCGGCCGCCTGGAGCACCGCCGGTGTTCAAGGCGCGCTACGTGGCTAGGGGTTTCAGTCAGCGTGAGGGAGTTGACTTCTTCCAGACCTTCGCCCCGACCCCGAAGATGACTACTCTTCGGGTGTTACTCCACATAGCAGCGCAGCGAGACTACGAGCTGCACTCCCTCGACTTCTCCACTGCGTTCCTCCAGGGCCGACTGCACGAGGAGATCTGGCTGCGCCGTCCTCCTGGCTTCACTGACACCTTCCCACCTGGGACCCAGTGGAGCCTGAGGCGACCAGTCTACGGTCTCCGCCAGTCGCCCCGTGAGTGGCACGACACTCTTCGCTCCACGCTTTGTGACCTTGGGTTCAGCCCGTCCTCCGCCGACCCGTCGCTGTTTGTTCGAGCGGGTTCTACTCCTTTCTTTATCCTTGTCTACGTCGACGACTTGGTGTTTGCTACAGCAGACAGGGCAGCCCTGGCTCAGGTGAAGTCCGAACTGCAGAAGAGACACAAGTGCACTGACCTGGGTGAGCTGCAGCGCTACCTTGGCCTGCAGATCACCCGGGACAGAGCCGCTCGCACCATCACACTGACGCAGTCACACATGGTGCAGCAGGTCCTTCGGCGGTTCCACTTCCAGTTCTCCACCACACAGCCCACTCCTCTTGCTGTTGACCACAGACTTACGGGCCCCTTTCCTGACGAGCCCTTTGAGTCCAGTGGACCCTACGCAGAGCTGGTGGGCTGCCTCATGTACCTGATGACTTGTACTCGACCGGACCTCGCCTTTCCACTCAGCATCCTTTCTCGCTTTGTTGCGACTGGGAGACACCGCCCTGTCCACTGGACAGCTGCTGTGAGGGTGGCGAAGTACCTGGCGACTACATCAGGCTTGGGGCTTGTGCTTGGAGGGACTCAGCCAGTGGCGTTGACTGGTCACTGCGACTCTTCCTACGCTGACGACGTGGAGACTCAGCGTTCGACTCAGGGTTACTGCTTCAGTCTGGGAGCTGGTGCTGTGTCGTGGAGGTCTACACGGTCGTCGTCTGTGGCTACTTCCAGTGCAGAGGCAGAGATCTATGCTGGTGCCATGGCGGCACAGGAGCTTCGCTGGTTGACCTTCTTGCTCGCTGACCTTGGTGAGCGGCCTCGCTCTGCACCGACCTTGTACGCTGACAACAAGGCCATGATCCTCCTGTGTCGAGAGCCTCGACTGGAGAGCAGAGTGAAGCATATTGACGTGAGGTACTTCCTCCTGCGAGAGCTGCAGCGACGCGGTCAGGCACGCCTGGACTTTGTGGCCTCAGAGGCCAACACTGCAGACGTCTTCACCAAGGCCTTGGCGCTTGGTGACCACCACAGGTTCTGTGTGCAGTTGGGGCTTGTTGAGGTAGGCCCTCGGTTGGTGTAGTCCTGTTGCTTGCTCTGCTTGTTGTGCTTTGTATTTATATCCTAGTGAACTCTTGAACTGGCCTTGTGGCCGCTTGCTTGCGCTCGGAATTTGTGTGGTGTCCTTGAGATCCACCCTGAGCTTGCCTTGGTTCTTGGTTTGACTGGTCTTGTGACCGTTTGTTCACCTTGCTTGCTTTGATGCCCCTCACTTAGCCTATGGGGGTGTGTCAAATGTTGAACATTGATATGATAGGCTATAATGAGTTGCACTCTAGGGGGTACAGCTTCTAGGGTTGCTCATTTGTACCCCATTCGTTTCTATTCCAATCATTCCGTTGTTCGCTAACTTTGAGAGTTTTTATCATCTCAAGCATTTACATTCACTCTGCTATTGAGGTCAAGGGCCCCCCACCACTAAGCTAGTAGTGTGCGAACCTCCCTGAGGTGATCCTGGTTACGATCAACATCTGATCGCAGCACTAAGAGCAACATCAGCAAGGTATTACATCAAATCGAACCTCAATATTCATCAGCAACTCACCATGTCCTACACATCTAGCTACAACGGCCAGCCGAAATTGCGCTCCATATATTTGCAAGTTCTGTGACTATACGATCCATATCAATCCGAGCCCTCAAGCTCGGATTAGTGGCGAAGCGAGCCAGAACAACCATTTGAAGAACATGCTGCGGCGACCACTTGTCCTTAATAGTTGGGTCAGTAACCAAGGAAGCGTTGCTAAAACCCCTGGGGCTGACCGTCTTCTGCAGCTCTTGATACCTTGGATCGCGGGGGGAATAGCCGAAAATCAGCTCCAATAGGAACACACCGAAAGCGTATGTGTCGGCCTGCTGGTTTAGTTGGCCTGTCTGCCAATAGTTTGGGTCGATGTAGCCGAACGAGCCGACCACTGCTGTTGACACGTGTGTTCTCCAGTCCTCGATGGTGCGAGCCAAGCCGAAGTCGGCCAACACTGGAGTGAAATCCTGCGAGTTACCGGTACAAGTTACAGTTGGAGGGAATTGGGATATGGGAGAATAATGTGAAAACTAAACCAAATGCGACGAGAATCAAGATGACAAGGCATCAGAGGATGCTGCTGAAATGAATACAGTATGAAGCTGGATTAGACACATTTTAGCTGGAAAATAGTCAGCACAACATGATCGGGAAATGAACAGCAAGAGAAGAGAATACACACACACACACAATAGACATGAGAATCACAGGCTAAACTCTCTAACCCGCCATACCTCTCGCAGAAGCACGTTTGACGACTTGAAATCGCGGTGAATGAACCTGTTTTGGTGTATGGCAGCTAGCGCCTCGGCACACCCCAGTGCAACCTTCACACGCTTCTTCCACGAAAAACGTGCTTCGTTCCTGCGGACTGGATGGGGGAAGGCGAGGGGGAGAGCAGAAGGAATGGGGGAGAGGGGGAGCGGCGGAGGGGGGGTGGATGGGGGCGAGAGGGTAGGAGCAAAGAAATGAGACCTCACATGTAGAGCCAACATGGGAGAGAGCAATGCTGACAGCAACTGACAAGTGAGGGCGCTGGCATTTCAAGGCCTGGCATTTCTAACGACAGTCATTACGGCCTATCAAGCAAGTGCAGTGGTACCAACGAGAGGACTAGGTATGTGAGGAAAAAAATTGAGGGGCAAACTGGGTGGATGGGGGGCGGGGAGGGATGGGGGGTGAAGGTGGGTGAGGAGGGGTAAAGGGTCAAGGAGAGGGATTTCTGTCATCTTGTTGGAGAAAATTCTTTATGTCTCTTCAGGGATCAGCTTAAACACGAGAACCGCTTAATTTCCCTGGGTGGGAAGCAGGACATTCCCCCACTGACATTCCCCCACTGACATTCTCCCACTGACATTCCCCCACTGACATTCCCCCACTGACATTCCCCCACTGACATTCTCCCATTGACATTCCCCCACTGACATTCTTCCAGTGACATCCCCCCAGTGACATTCTCCCACTGACATTCTTCCACTGACATTCCCCCACTGACATTCTCCCACTGACATTCTCCCACTGACATTCTCCCACTGACATTCTCCCACTGACATTCTCCCACTGACATTCTCCCATTGACATTCTTCCTCTGACATTCTCCCATTGACATTCCCCCACTGACAGTCTCCCACTGACATTCTCCCACTGACATTCTCCCACTAACATTCTCTCACTGACATTCTCCCACTGACATTCTTCCACTGACATTCTCCCACTGACATTCCCCCGCTGACATTCTCCCAGTGACATTCCACTGACATTTCCCCCTCCCTTCCCCAAGCCACTTACTGCAGAACAGTTGAACAACGTGAGAGGGGACTCTTCTCACTGTTGGAGGTCGCGTGAGTTAGAAGCAAACGGTGGTGGGGCAATTGATATGCCCCCAACCCACCGAATGTGTTTCGGTGCTCACCGCTTGAGTGAGCTGCAGGTTTCACGAAGTGTGTGGGTTGACTTCGGAAGACCCACTCAATTGGTGCCACATGGCAACACAAGAAGAATCGAGACTCAAGGAGAATTCGATTCGGTGAAATTCGAGAGTCGAATTTCACCCCTTCGATGTTACTCGAACATTCGCGAGTTTACCGCGGTTCGAGGTTAATTGTGCGACTCGATGTTGATAGATGCTATAAATCTGTTTGCTTTGTATTGCATGTATCATACTGAAATCAAGAATCACTTTGTATGTGATACATTCGACTACAAAATCCAGAGAGCTCCCATCCTTTGTTCTAAGAGCACTAGCAAGCACATAAACGCCTAGAACTCCCTCGTTACTTGGGCGAATCGCGTGTTTGACGGCTCGTTGGAAAGCCAGCAGAGTGCTCTATCATTTAGTACAAATTCCAGTTCCTGCAATATATCTCGCTCGATACGTAGGCGATCGAGGTGATCTACGGCCCGTTGGAAAGCTAAGACAGTGCTCTACTGATTAGTACAAATCCCAGTTCCTGCAAAGTAGAGGAGAGTCCTCTACAACAGTGGTATCAGAGCTGGTCGGAGGAGTCTACGCGCGCAACAAGAAGCTAGCATGTCGACGGCAAGCGAGGCCTCAAGCACTTCCTTGGATGGTGTCGTTGTAAATTCCGGCGAACCCTGGGCAACCGCGACGATGTTCGACACGTCGGCGGTACCGATTTTCACGGGACAAAATTACTCCGCGTGGAAATCTAAGTTCCAAGTGCTCATGATGGAGCGGGGACTTTGGGGTTTCTTCGATGGAACGGAGAAGAAGCCGGACGATGAGAGCGGCATCGCGACATGGAAGAAGAAGGACCAAAAGGCGTTCGCTACGTTGATTTCGCGCATCGGCATCAATCTCGTGAGCTCGGTGCGCATGTGCATCAAGCTCGAAGCGTCGGCGCATGAAGCGTGGAAGCGGCTCGAAACCATCCACGTGAACAAGACTCTCCACGGCAAGATCCTAGCCCGGAATGCATTCTACACGGTGAAGATGCGCGCGGGCGAATCGATGCACGATTATGCGACTCGTGTGGAGGAACTTGGGGAAACGTTCATGGACCTCGGTGGAACGGTCACGGAGGAGGATTGGATTTTGACATTGCTATGCGGCCTTCCGGAAGAGTGGTCGACGGTGATTACGACACTCGATAGCGTGCAAGACACTTGGACGAAAGAAATGGTGGTCGGTCGGCTTCTTCATGAAGAATCGCGTCGCCGACAATTCGCTAATGAGAGCGAGGGTGCAGCCATGTTCTCCGGGGGGAGTTCCGGAAAGAGGTCCACGTGGAGCAAAGGTGCGACGAAGAAGTCGTCCGGAGGAAGCGATCGCGGCAAGGGAAATGCATCGAGCGGCACGAGCAAGTGCCACTATTGCGGCAAATCGGGACACTTTTGGCGAGAGTGTCGGAAGCGGCCGAGCGATTGGACTCCATCGAAGGCGCGGAACCACGAGGGCAACGCGCACACGGCATCCGGCGAGACGGATGATACAAGGGAGTCGATCGTGTTATTGGCCGGTGACGGGACCAACACTCCAAGTGACGCGTGGTTCCTCGACACCGGCGCAACACAACACATGACGCACTCAACATCGTTCCTCACCAAAGTTGGCGCACCGGGGGATGTTAAACGCGTCATCTTCGGAAACAACAAGTCGCTACCGGTGGTTGGAGTTGGGATTACGCGTCTCATCATTGATGGCGGACCGGTTGACATCACGAACATGCTTCACGTCCCGGGATTGAAGGTGAATCTACTCTCCGTCACTCAACTCGCGAAGAAGGGTGTGAAGGTCACTATCGACGATGCGAAAATGAACCTGTTTTGGAAGGGGAAGCAATTCGTGCAAGGTGTTCTCAACGGAGAACTCTACCAACTCAAGACGCACCCGAGAGCGACTTCATCCAACGTGGCGCAAGGTTCCAAGGCGACTCTCAAGGCGTGGCATAATCGACTTGCGCACGCCAATTACGACTCGGTCAAGGAGTTGGCAAACAAAGGACTTGCGAAGGGAGTCGACGTGGTCGCCGGCGACGACGAGACGGGCGTGTGCAAATGTGTCGAAGGAAAAATGGCTCGGAAGCCATTTGGTAGCCGAATGTCACCCCTCGCTAAGGACCCACTTGGGCTTGTTCACATGGACGTGTGTGGATCGATGCGACATGCATCAAAGGGAGGAGCGCGGTTTCTCTTGGTGATGCTCGACGATGCGACGCGGATGTGTTGGACCCGACTCTTGAAGGCTAAGGGCGACGCGGCCAAGGCACTACAAGAGTGGGCGCTCGAAGTTTGCAACGACGACAAGAAGCGGATCAAGGTTATTCGTACCGATGGTGGTGGCGAATTCGTGAACAACGAGCTTGCGAAATGGATGAAGAGCAAGGGCATTAAGCACGATGTCACAACACCCTACACACCCCAACAAAATGGAGCGGCGGAGCGGCTTAATCGCACATTGGTGGAGGCTGTTCGTTCACTTCTTCAATACTCCAAGCTTGGGAACGAGTGGTGGGGAGAGGCGAGTGCGCTAGCGGCATGGATCCGTAATCGTGTGCCGACCAAGGTGCTACCGGAGACGACTCCGTTCGAAGCATGGACCGGAACGAAGCCGAACCTTTCCCTCCTACGCACCTCCGGATGTCTTTGCTACTACCATGTACCGGACCCACTTCGCCACAAGTTGCAACCAAAAGCTCGTGCGGCGATCTACTTGGGAATTGCGGCGAACGAGCGTGCATACCGAGTGTGGGATTTGGGAGAAAAACGCGTCGTCACGTCTCGGGATGTGGTTTTCGACGAAGACAAGTTCCCGGCGAAAGAAAAACCAACTCAACAAGTCACCTTCATCCTTCCGGCACGAAAGGAGGTTGAAGAAAGTGAGGTTCTACCTCAAGTGGAGAAGGAAACCGATGGAGGGGGAGAGAACAACGAGGAGAGCGTTGATGATGTCGTGGAGGTGCCACCAACCGAGGCGGCAACTACCTCCACACCTTCCTCCCTACCATTGGCCTTGACCCGCGAGCGTCGTGAGGTTCGTCCTCCCTCCAAATACGCCGACTATGCTACGGTAGCCGTTGGGGAGACGGATAAAGGGGGCGCGGCATTTTGCTTCGCGACCAAGGGTGATGATGAACACGCGGAATCTCTCATGGAACCACCCCCTAAAGATTCATCCCGTGCATGCTACGAGCATGTTGGATTGCACACCTAGTGGGTTGGGTGCAAGGGGGAGTGTTGGAGGTCGCGTGAGTTAGAAGCAAACGGTGGTGGGGCAATTGATATGCCCCCAACCCACCGAATGTGTTTCGGTGCTCACCGCTTGAGTGAGCTGCAGGTTTCACGAAGTGTGTGGGTTGACTTCGGAAGACCCACTCGATTGGTGCCACATGGCAACACAAGAAGAATCGAGACTCAAGGAGAATTCGATTCGGTGAAATTCGAGAGTCGAATTTCACCCCTTCGATGTTACTCGAACATTCGCGAGTTTACCGCGGTTCGATGTTACTTGTGCGACTCGATGTTGATCGATGCTATAAATCTGTTTGCTTTGTATTGCATGTATCATACTGAAATCAAGAATCACTTTGTATGTGATACATTCGACTACAAAATCCAGAGAGCTCCCATCCTTTGTTCTAAGAGCACTAGCAAGCACATAATCGCCTAGAACTCCCTCGTGACTTGGGCGAATCGCGTGTTTGACGGCTCGTTGGAAAGCCAGCAGAGTGCTCTATCGTTTAGTACAAATCCCAGTTCCTGCAAAGTAAAGGAGAGTCATCTACAACACTCACCTAGTAGGAAAATATTTTTTACGTCGCCTCCAGGAATGAGCTCATAGACGAGAAGAGGAGGGGTAAGATACATGAAGGGGTAAGACGAGGGGACTCTTCTCACCTCGCTGGAGAAGATTTCTGACGTCGCCTCCCGAGATGAACTCATACACGAGAATTGGCCTCTGCTCCATGTCCATCGCCACGCCTTCCAGCCTCAGAATGTTGGGATGATTCAGTGCTGACATGGCTGCCACCTCAGCCTGAAATCACGGAATAGACATGAAGCACATGTGATTGGACACAAAAGCACTGAGGGGAAGGAACGGCACGGATCCTGAGGCTAGCGCGTGTTTGCTACATGGTTCTTTTTATTTTCGCCAAAAAAAAGTTCGGAATTTCGACATTGTTTCTTCTTCAGAAAGTTTTGGCCACCTTACCCTGGGCTGCCCGTCTACGCACTAGAGCACTCACCTCGAAGCACCTCATGTCTCTCTCGGTAAATTGTCTGCCATTCGTCACTTTGACTGCCACGTCACGCTCCCCCATCGCGCCGCCGCCCGCGGCCTGCGGCAGCATCAGCCGCCCGCGGTACACCTGTCCGAACCCCCCTTCCCCCAATAAGTCCGAAAACCCCCCCGTCGCCGCGCGCAGCTCCGCGTAGGTGAACTCGCGGAGCGGAGGGAGGCCGGCGGACGTCCGTGCGGAGGCGGCGGAGTCGCGGGCAGAGCCCATGGCGGAAACCTGCGCGGGGAGAGAGGACTCGGCGGAGGAACTGACGGGGAGAAGCGGCGCCGCCGGCGGCGGCGGCTGTTGCGCGGGGGGCGCGGCGGGAAAACTCGACGAGTCCGGCTCGCGGTAGGCTTGGGGGTTGAAGCTCGAATTGTAGTAGGCTGCGGATTGCGAAGGGTCGTAATAGGCGGCGGCTGCTGCGGCGGAGGTCGATGAGTCGTCGTAACGGCCACGGGACTCTTGAGTCGACTCAAAAGGCACCTCGTGGTCGTAAGGGCTGGGAATCTCCGGAGGAGGCGGCTGTGGCGCGCGACAGTTCTTCCGCCTGAGGCGGCGGCGCCGGGAAGGGGGAAGGGTTGACGGGAACCACTTCGGAAGGGTGGAGGCTCCGCGGGCGGAGGAGTGGCGCGGATTTGTATGCGCGGTGGTCCGCAACGGAGGATGGCGTATACGATGGGTGGGGTGCGCCGTCGTTCTGTTGCGCGGAAGCGGCACCTGTTCAGTTCGATGGGGTAGGGGAGGGTGGGGGAAGGAGCGAGAACGAGAGGCGCGGATTGGTATTCCCAGTGGTCCGCAATGGAGGACGGCGTGTATGACGGCTGGGGCGCGCCAGCGGTTTCGGTCTGTTGAACGGAAGCGGCGCCTGTGCGGGGCGATTAGTGGGGACTGAGAAGCGGAAAATGAGAGGTGCAGATTGGCATTCCCAGTGGTCCGCAACGGAGGACGGCGTGTTTGACAGCTCGGGCTCGCCGGCGGTTTCTGAATGCTGAGCGGAAGCGGCGGCGCCTGTGCGGAGCGAAAAAGGGGAACGAAGGGATGGAAGCTTGAAAACAGCAGAGGAGAAACGAGTTGAAGCGGAAATGGAAGAAATATCTCAACTGTGGCAGTGGCAGTCGAAGTCCGGGACGCGAATCACCTCGATAACTAGACTCACCTGTCGCTTTCACTGCACGCGCCTCTCCGTCGCCGCGAAAACAGCTAAAGCAATTGCCCATGGCCGCCAGCGGCTGCAGTGAAGGACGCGAGTTGAACGCCGCGGCGCAGCAGCCTCAGGCCAAAAATTCGAACTCCAAATATTTAAATAGGGCCTGTTTACGGCTGAGACTTTGGTTTCGCTGGCGACAGCACTTGTCGTCAACGTGTTTCTCGTCAAGAGAATTCTCACGCCCCAGCGCTTCTGAAGCAGTAAGAAGCTGCCGCCAGCTGCTACTTTCTCTCGGTGCTTTGATTTTCAAACTCAAATGACGATATGTGCTTCAGAGGGAAGTCATAAATTGTTCACGCTGAACTGACGAGATTGGGCTGGGCTGGACTGATGGGCTGGAGAGGAATCGGGACTCGGATTAGGGCGTGTCAAATGTGTACGTTCAAATGCGGTTGAGTACGTTATAGAACAATCAAACGTATTTTGATGGAAGAATCAAACTGGTTGGGTAGGGTAATGTTGCGTTGCGAGTACACACTTTCGGACCCGCCCTCAGGGGGAAGTCAGGGGGATAGGGGGAAGGGATTCCATCCAGTTCAATGCAGTGCGTTGATTGAGTCGTACCCGCACGCGGATTTGCGGAATAAGATGGGGCGGGGTGTGACGAGCCTTTTGATTGGTTACGCACGAGCGAGCAAATCAGGGAAGAGAATGAGATTTGTTTCCCCGCGGTGTACGAAATTGATGGTGCTGGTTGGAGGGACGAGGAAAGGGGAGGGAAAATGGAGTGATTTCGAAGGGGAACTTGTCCGACGACTCCACCCAATTGTCTGATGGTGATTGCTACAACTGTCGGGCAAGTCCTGAGTAAATTACACGCACCATACCACACTAGAACGCACCGAACCACACTTGATAGCGGTGCGCAATTGCATCAGGCGAATTTCCCCACTTCCCCAACTCCTGCCACTCACCATGATCGAAGTTGTGACCAGGGTCCCTTCGCTCTTTTCCTCCACTCACACCGCACACTCTTCCCTTCCCACCACGAAAACTTGTACAGTACCGTGCCGTGCACGATAATTCTCATTCGACACCCCAATTCGCCCTCTCATGCGCCTTGGGTAATCGCAGCCAATCCGCGTGCGACTCGGAATCGAAGCAACTGCAGGGAAGAGCCCTTTGCCGCCATCCTCTCCCCTTCCCCTTGTCAAACATTATATATGTTGTGCTTGTTTAGGCTACAGTGGGTTAGTCTATAGGGGGTACACAATTCTAGGGTTAGGTACTTGTACTCATTTCACTGTTAGTTCCAACATTCCTGTTTGTTCATCTCAACATGGTATAGAGCAGGTCCTTCGCTAGGACCGTTTTTTAGGGCCCACCACTACCTACCTACCTACCTACCTACCTACTACGCCCTAGGGCGCCTCGTACTTCACGGCCCACTAAGGCCCCGCGACCCGCCCCTTAGCGACCTACGCGCCGCCCCTTAAGGCCCCGTCGGCCCACGCGCTAGCCCCTTAGCGACCCCGTCGGCCCCGCGATCGCCCCTAACGGCCCCGTCGGCCTCGCGCTCACCTCCCTAGAGGCCCTGAACGGCCCCGCCAGAACGAGCCGCACGAACCGAGCCGCCCAACCCGAACCGAGCCGCCCAGCCCGACCCGAGCCGCGCCGCCCGAACCGAGCCGCGCCGCCCTACCTGAACCGAGCCGCGCCGCCCGTACTGGACGGAGCCGCCCTACCTAAGTCGCACTGCCTACTGTTTCTGGGGTGCACCTACTGCTATTACTGCTACTCTACTGTTACTCCTACTACTGCTATGGCTAGCCCTCCTGTGCTAGCTTTCGATACTGAGGGCCGCCCAGTGAGGTTCGAAACCTGGCTAGATGACCTACACCTCTTCCTACAGCTCACTGCCAAGGAGGACATCTCACTGTACGATCACGCCCTAGGCCATGCTACTGCTCCTGCTGCTACTGCTGACAGCACCACCCGCTCACAGTGGCAGACTCGTGACGCCCACGCTCGCTTCGCTATTCGCAACTCCCTGCCGATAGATGAGCGCGAGCACTTTGGGCAGCACAAGACTGCACAGGCACTGTACACTGCTGTCGTTGCCCGCTACTCCTCACCGGCCTCTGCCGCACTAGGCCGTCTCTCTCTTCCCTACCTGTTCCCCGAATTAGCCTCTTTCCACACAGTCGCTGACCTCATTACGCACCTCCGCACTAGTGAAGCTCGCTTCCGCGCCGCCATGCCTGATGAGTTCCTTGCCAAGAACCCACCCCCGCTCTGGCTCACTCTCTACCACCTAGTCACCCGCCTCCCTGACACTCTGCGCTCAGTCAGGGACCACTTCCTAGCTCGCTGCCCCACTGAGCTCACCATTGCCCTCCTCGAGAAGGAACTCCTTGCAGCTGAGGCTAGCATAGTCGCTGTAGGTGCCTCTCGTGGCGACCCCCGTACCCCGTTCTTTGAGGGGTGTTCTCCTTCCCCCCTTCTTCCCTCTGTCGCCTCTGCTGCTGCTGTCGACCTCCTTGGTGCTGAGAAGGTCGTGACTGCGTCTGCTTTGAGCGGGCGCCGCAGCGGCAAGGGCAAAGGGGGCAAGGGCGGTGGCGGTGACAGCGGGGGAGGCGGTGGTGGGGGTGGTGGCGGTGGTGGGGGTGGTGGCGCGACTGGAGGGGCTAGTGGCAGCGGTGGGGGTGGTGGCGGCAGCGGCGGGGGAGGTGGCAGGGGCGGAGGCGGTGGTGGGGGTGGCAGTGGACGCGGCGGCGGCAGGGGTTGGGGTGGTCGAGGAGGTGGCAGCGGCGGTGGTGGTCGTGGAGGCGCTGGCGGTGGCCAGGGCCAGCAGCACACTCCGTCGCCCCAGGAGGTCCGTGAGTGGTACTCTCAGCACGGGGGGGGGGGTGGCTTTAGCTGCACGTACGTCATTCGCACTGGTGACCGCACTGGTCAGCCGTGTGGGGGACCGTACGCCACACAGCGCTGCTTCGCTCGTCTCAACGACGCTTGGCGTGTTCAGTTCCCTCAGGCCACTGAGCTGCCCCGCTGGGTTGATATCCTGAAGAAGGGGATTGATATCTATGCTCTAGACTTTGATGCTATTCTAACTGCTATGTATGTGATGTCTACTAGTGGAGAGGGTGCTGAGTACCTGTGTGTGCCGCCCGACCCGGGCATTCGGACTAGTGCGTCTGCCGCTCCAGGTACTCACGTGTCTGCTACCCCAGGTGCTGGTGAGGCAGCTGCTCTAGGTGCTTGTACGTCTGCCCCCCCTGGTACTGAGTCGACTGCAGCACTGCACACCTTCACGCTGGACTCAGGTGCTTCTCGCTGCTTCTTTCGTGACCGCACTGCCCTTGAGCCGCTTACTCGGCCAGTTGCTGTCTCCCTCGCTGACCCCTCTGGGGGTCCGGTCATTGCGACCTCCTCCACTGTCCTTCCCTGTCCTGCGGTCCCGTCGGGCACACTGTCAGGTCTCCACCTCCCCTCGTTCTCTACGAACTTGGTGGCAGGTTGTGCACTCCAGGACGGGGGTGTTCACCAGTTCACCCCTGCCTACGAGCGCGTGACACACTGCACGTGTGCTCGTACGGGCCGCCACTTGGCTACCTTCACACGGCAGCCGGGGTCGGACCTGTACACACTGACCACTGAGTCCCCTCAGGTCGCTGCGTCTGCGTCTGCGTCCGCGTCAGGTCAGCTCTCTGCCCCCTGCTCGTGTCGCTCTCTGGCACACGAGACTGTCCTCTGGCACCACCGACTTGGTCACCCGTCTGTACAGCGCCTTCGTGCCATGCACTCCCGGTACCTTGTCTCTGGTCTTCCCAGGGTCCTCCCTCCCCTCCCGCCCTCGCCCGCTCCTCCCTGCCTTCCCTGTGTCGAGGGGCGGCAGCGCGCCGCTCCTCACTCCTCCTCGTTTCCCCCGACGACTGCTCCCTTGCAGACGCTCCACATGGACGTGTGGGGCCCAGCCCGCGTCCGTGGTCAGGGTCAGGAGAGGTACTTCCTGATAGTTGTTGACGACTACTCGCGCTACACCACGGTCTTCCCCTTGCGCACCAAGGGTGAGGTCCCTGATGTCTTGATCCCTTGGATCCGCAGAGCCCGTCTCCAGCTCAGCGAGCGTTTTCACTCGGACTTTCCTGTCCTGCGCTTGCACTCTGACAGAGGTGGTGAGTTCTCCTCCGACCTCTTGGCAGCCTACTGTGCTGAGCACGGCATTGAGCAGTCGTTCACGCTTCCGGCCTCTCCACAGCAGAATGGGGTTGCAGAGCGCCGCATTGGCCTGGTCATGGAGGTCGCCCGTACCTCCTTGATCCATGCGGCTGCCCCCCACTTTCTGTGGCCGTTTGCGGTCCGGTACGCTGCGCATCAGCTCAACCTCTGGCCCCGTGTCTCCTTGCCGGAGACCTCGCCCACATTGCTGTGGACGTGGGAGGTTGGCGATGCGTCGCGTTTCCGGGTCTGGGGATCTCGAGCTTTTGTCCGCGATACGTCTGCGGACAAGCTCTCCTCCCGTGCTGTTCCCTGCGTCTTCCTCGGCTTTGTCCCGGACGCGCCTGGTTGGCAGTTTTACCACGCCACCTCGCGCCGAGTCTTGCCCTCTCAGGACGTCACTTTTGACGAGTCCGTCCCCTACTACCGCCTCTTCCCCTACCGCACTGCCCCGCTCCCCCCCCCGCCTCTCTTCCTCGCGCCAGGTGCTGCTGTCGTAGACCCCCTCCCCCCTCAGGGTGCCGCTCCCTCAGGTGTGTCTCAGGTAGACCCGGTTGAGCCTGTTGAGGTAGCTGTCGACTCTCGTCCTGCTGCGGGTGCTGAGCCTGGGGGTGCGGAGCCTGGGGGTGCGGAGCCTGGGGGTGCTGAGCCTGGGGGTGCGGAGCCTGGGGGTACTGAGCCTGGGGGTGCTGAGCCTGGGGGTGCGGAGCTTGGGGGTACTGAGCCTGGGGGTGCTGAGCCTGGGGGTGCTGAGCCGCAGAGTCCGGAGTCTGGGGGTTCTGAGTTTGGAGGTCCTGAGCCTGAGAGTCCTACACCTGGAGGAGCCCTCTCCTCGGAGCAGCTGCGTGA